ATGGTCACCAATAAAATTTGATCAAAACGTCCAGAATACATTGCGTTTTAAGGTGTTTTATTGTCCTTCTCCACAACTTGGACCATAGGTTCTTTTTTTTTTTTTTTTTTTTTTTTTTTTTTTTTTTTTTTTTTTTTTTTTTTTTTTTTTTTTTGGTTTTAATACGCTGTAATTTTTATCTTGTTTTTTTAAGCGCAATTTAATACATTACGCACGGTTTACATGGTTAAATAAATATTTTCATCATACATATACATGTACATGATATTGTTGTAGCGACAAATACGATTTGTTGGGGAAAAAATTGTAATTAACAATCGGCGATCGTGAAATACGTCGTCATGCGTATAAAATGTGAATTTTATGAAAGTGTTCTTTTGACATTTTTCGATCGTTGGCCATCGATTTGTAACGTAACGAGTATCGCTAATGGAACGTCATCTACAATATTCGTGCAAGCTAATTGCAAACGCTTCAATAATTTTAATTGCACAGTCAATCAAAAACAGATACCTATATCAGGTAGTCATTTCAGGTCATAACTGAATATAAAAATTTTCAGCGCTATGTTTATAGCTTGTTACTTCAAATTCCGCAAGAAGAAATTTTGTAATATCGACGAAAAGAAATTTTCACATATTTTCTCAAATTTGACATTTCGTCGGTATACAGTGAAAAACGACAAGATTTTTAATAATTTTGTAACATTAATTGTGACAGTGTCCTCTCTTGGTTTATCATCCCGCGTATCTTGCGATACGACCTCAATTAATTATTTAGAGACATGACTTACAGTTTCTTTTCACGGTACAGTAAATCCCTTCTTTGAGGATATTCTCTTCTAAAGGAATAAGCAACGTGATATTTTTAAAGTAAAGTTTCACGTGTTGTTATTATTTACACAAATATTGGATTTTGTCCATCTCTTGTCAAGTACAATTATTCATTTATATTTATATAAATAATTTATATAATTTTATTAAATTAATTCCAAAGAGATATCGCACGCACACGCGTATTATATCTATTGTGTGGAGATCACAGAATATTTACATCGCATTCGCGCATTGTGTGTAAACGAACGAATAACCGCGTTGGTGTTTTAAATTTAGCTTTCCCGATCGACGCCAATGGCAAACAATAGCGAACAGATCGCGTACGACATGTGCTTGCAGAAGCTTTTGTAACAAGCGGCATTCTCCCACGCTGTATATTGAACGGCGTCTGTGATGTTTCAGACATCTGAGATTTAGGCGAGAAAAAATGCGGATATATGACCGTTTAATTAAAAGTCGGACGAGTCGTCTCTCGCGTGCGCGTCAATTTGTTCTCACGTGCTGCTGTTCCCTTTAAAGCGTCTTCTGACAATCGCAAATCTCCCGCAGCGAAAACTAATATCCGTCAAAACGGCGCGCCAGTATTAATGTTTCCCATTAAAACTAAACGCCTTTTAATCGGCATTAGTTTCTACATCGCTTTACAATCAGCTGCCTTCGCTAACGGGTCGAGAACGAACGATTCGCTGTGTGCTAGAAACCGACGTAATCGGCCACGCGTAATACCGGTCGGCTCGGTTAGCTACGAAATGACCCGTAATTAGATCTCACGATTTGCCGATATGACCGGCCGTAGTTTTTTTTTTTTTCCAACGGCGAGAACTTTTCTCGGATGC